CTCTACAGCGGTTGTGGTGAACTAAAAGTGCTAGAAAAAATTTCTTTATGTTCTTAATAGTATATATAATAGCGTCCAAAGGGAATTATGTTTCTAAATATAATAGTTTTTTTATAAAGAAACATTGAAAAAGTCTTTTTTTTCAATTTTGAATGAGAAAGTCCCCTTAAGTTATAGGTCCGCCTCATATCGCATAATATACAGGAGTCTAGCGATTATTGTCCCGAACTCGGATCCGCGCAGGACTATAATCGTGGAGCACGCGAAATGCTTCTGACTCTCGTGAATACGTTTTTTGCCCGCAACTCGAACCTCGACAACTCGCCTTTGTAGTATTCCGAACGTAGAAAAGGACAAGCCAGTGAAAAATAGATAGAAAGCTTCTTTTCCCACTCGACTCGGCTGCGTGGCCCGCCCATAGACATATATAGACGGAGCATGAACTGAGCGGGGGAGTAAGATACGCGGTAAGGGGGGTAGTTAGTTATAAATCGGGTAACTTCGTTCCTTTTCGGTGCTATTCGGGTATACAATCACGTTACATACATGTATGCTATGAGAGATGAAAAGAATATACTTATTATACGTTACAAATGCCGTATGTCATGTAGTTTGTATAGATATATGTATTTAACAAAATTAATAAATAATATGAAGCATTACATAATAGTACGGCCCACAGCCCACCAGCCATTAATAACGAGCCGAATCGAGCCGAATGCATCCGAAGCTAACCGACGTATATCTAACGATCGCTGTCTTTTCCCCTCCAATCCCACGGTCTCCTCGCCCAAAGTGGTAGCTTATGCTCTGTCTATACATATATGTCTATGGGCCCGCCTGCGACGCTCTCGTCGACCAATAGTTACATTATAGCCGACCACACAGTCCGATTGTGTGTACTGTTTCGGCCGATAATAAAAACACGTGTGAGTGATCCAGCTACATTTTATTCGTCGGCGAACCCTCTGGGCAGACGCTGACGATTGAACGCTTCGACTAATCGTCGTACATTCCCCCGCTCCATCCGTCGAGTCCATCGAGCGCATACATTGTTGCCCCATGAAACTTTTTTATTTTTGTTTCGTTGTTAATGAAACTTTTACTAGTATATTGGTGAGATTTTTCTGATTAAAATGATACCAAATGTGACATAATTTGGATCATATCTACTCATGTAGAAAGTGTTAATAGTTCATATTAGTTCATTATCGATTCTGATAAATCAGATAAGTCATAAGTAAATATGACCTAACTTGTGTCGTGTTTTGTATCATTTTAATCCAAAAAATCTCACCAATATATTCATAACAGTTTCATTAATAAAGAACCAAAAATAAAAAAGTTTTATCGTTGCATTAGTATTGTCTCACCGACACCCGAGAATATAACCTTTTTGTGGGCTCCCTACGTTCAGTCGTCGGCTTGTGAACGGGAAGCCGTGTCGGCGCGTCGCAGCAACAAAGTATGCGGTTACCGAGTTCCACGGCCTCCCCCTCCCCCTACCCCGCCCCCAGTGGTGGGGATGACGCCTGGACAATAATCGCATATCAACAGAGTCAATAATCGTGAGGCCCCTGTAAATGGGTGAAAGGTGAAAACCATTTGCACTTTGGAACGAAGATTTGTTTGCACTTATGTAAAGACTACACTGTCCAACACTATTTTTAATCTGCAATATCCATTGGGAGATCCTTATAGACTATCCTCGGAGAAGGGAGATCCTGCTTGCTATACGTAACCACCGGATATTTTCTCGACCTGTTCGAATTAAAAATCGTTTCGATACTTTTTCTGGATGGTTCTTTCTTCAGAAATGTCTATAGAATCCGATACTGTGTAGCAAATTCGTGCTAGGTAAAGAACTTTTCGTAAAAATGCAAAAATAATGCATAGAAAATACGCACATCGGCTCTTTTAAAAACTTCCACGGTATTTACAACCATTAAGAATTACACAATGTAATGACTAAATACACTGCTGTATGCTCTCCTCTGTTTTTTAAGATTAAATTGAACTTTCTAGCGTTCTAAGTTTTCGCGTAATACGTCATTTTTGGCCAAAATAGGGTGTTTTTACAAAAGCTCATGTTTATGTCAACTCTATAAGGATCTCCCAATGGATATTGCAGATACGAAAAAAAGTTTAAATTTGTTGGACAGTGCTATTATATTACAGTTTAAACAATTCTTCAGGCTGGTTAGTAAGTACAGCCTTAAAAGAGAAACTGAAACAAGAATCAATATAATTTTTTCGAGTTGTTTTGAATCATTTCAGAATAGAATACCATCGTATCAAGAAATCACCCTTTAAATGACTGCGCTATTTGTGTTTCAAATGAGTAGATCTTTATCTACCAAATTTCTACCTATGTCGGTAAGAAAATACCTTACAAAACAATTTTCTTCCTGGTGATAGTTGATAAGGAGTTAGTACAGTTAAAAATGACTAACATACACATCATGTACTCCTATTATGTATTATAATACCCTCATAGTTGTTGTTAAGTTCATAATTTTTAATTCTTTATATGTCTTATCTATGTAAATTCATAGCACTTATAAGTTACGTATTTGTAAATATTTTTAATGATTGATATTCTTATAATAAACATGTGTCTACGGCAGACTTAGACAAATAAGCTAAGAATTAATATATTTTTGCTATATTTGGAGTAACTAAACCGCTGTTGTGTATGCATATCTATTTATTAGTTAAGATTAGTACATACCACATGCCTATAATGTATAAACAAAAATACGACGTGCCGAATGTTCGTTGAAATGGGTGTTCCATTCTCCTATTTTTTCTGTATAGGTTTTTAGAAAGAATGAAGTATTTAACGCTTGATACAGTCGAAACATATCCGTCAGAATGTCGACCAGATAACATCAAAATTCACGTCTACTCCTTACTGCGAGTTGCATTATTTTAATCGAGCTAAATGTAATAAAATGGGAGCTTCATTGGTTGCTTTTTTTCTATTAGAGACTCCACTTTCTCTGTTTACAGAGCGTCGACCGAAAGTTTGGCCACTACACTCTTAACCCTGTGTGGACGAATGCCGCCAAACAAGCGGCATCATGCTTCTACTTACTAACAACAAATCAAAAGCTACCGCTACAGCGGCAAAAAATATTTTCATTGTATTCAAAAAATATTTTCATTGTATATACAGACTCCTCTCAATTATAGGCTGGCTTGTTCTACACGATTATTGTCCAGGCATTATCCCCACCACTGGGGGGAGGCCGTGGAATCTGTCAAGCGCCTACTTTGTTGCCCCTTCGTTTTTACCGCCGAGCTCGGGCTTCGGGCAAAAAACGAATTTACGAGAGTCTGAAGCATTTCTCCCTATAAGAGTATTGCCCCGGAGCGGACTCGGATTCGGAACGATAATCGAAAGGAGTCTGTAGAACCAAGCAAAATTCTTAGGTTGGTCCCATAAACAGTTGACCAAAGTTACAGAGAAATTGGTGTATATCAGTTCGCAAACAACCTTTGTTAGTTTGTAACTTCTATTGGTATACCGTCAATTTTATACAGGGTGTAACAAAAATGTTGTCCGACCCGGAAATGGGGCACTCGGCGGGTGAATTGGAACAAGTTTTTCCTTAGCAACAATGTAATCTGAGGCTTCGTTACCGAGATATTAACGAAAAACCCCGACCAATCAGAGCGCGAGTTTGCCAGCCGAGTTCCCGCGCTAACGGTGGCTACGTGCTGCGATTTGTAGCCAACGCTACCGCGAGAACTCGGCTGGCAAACTCGCGCTCTGATTGGTCGGGGTTTTTCGTTAATATCTCGGTAACGAAGCCTCAGATTACATTGTTGCTAAGGAAAAACTTGTTCCAATTCACCCCTCGAGTGCCCCATTTCCGGGTCAAAGAACATTTTTGTTACACCCTGTATAGAGTGTCCTGTCTTGCCTTCACTGAACCTTTTTCCATTCTTTTTTCTTTCACACTTCTTTCACTGACAAGCCAATTATACTAGGATGAACACACTACTGAATGAACACTTAAGAGATTTTATAAATATTAAAGTTGAATTTTAAATGATAATAATATTAATATTTGGCATGCTCCTTTGAATACTCCACTTGAATTATCGTAAAAGACCAAAGAGAAGTAGGTGATTAATTGAGATAATGAAGAATTTTATGGTTTCTGTTCAAAAATATATACTAAATATACTTTTTTCTATGGATTCTATTTCATGTTATTTTACATTTTTTTCTTCTTGTATATTTTCAATACAAATGAAGTTTGTTATATAGTATACTTTATGGTCTCGACATTTATTGTAATGATAAATGAAGTTCGAGCTCACAAAAACCCGGAAAATATCATTTTTACGTATTTACCGGACTCTATACGGTGTACCATTATACACGCGGCGTTGTTAGAAAGTTACCGAAAAAACGGCTCAGCACTCAACGTGTTAAATGTGTACCGAGTGTCGAAAAGGTACGTTGCACTTGTAAAAATTATTCTGTTAATAACTTTTTAACTACAAGGTTACTAAGCAGGGTGACCTTAACAACATAAGTCAAGGTCAAGATTATTGGATGGATCTTCTTGACGGTAGTTTTATCCATTTTTTAAATATTTTCCGGAAATATATCTTTGATGTGCTTCACTAATCGTTTTTGAAAAATGTAAACGGCAACTGCCTTATGCTCTAAACTTTCAGATATTATGAAAAAATTATGTTCCTTACCGTATGCTACAAAAAGATGGTGTAACTCATTTACTGGTCCAATGATAATTTTACATAATTATACATGTAACATGACATAAAATTACATAAATTTATGTAAATCAACTCAACATTTTTTATATACACGTACTTCAATAGCTATAGTTTACGTACAGTATAACCAATAATCGTTTAATTCTATAGTGTGCTTGAAAAACTTCCTAAAAATACCTCTGTTCTTCAGGCCTTTACTCTATTCTAGTCCCTAAAGGTCTAGTGTAGCCGAGCAGAAAATTGATTTATTTTGCTTGTGTTTTCTTACAGTTTGGGAACTTCAAAATGTGTTCCTAAAGCATCATGACGAAATTCAGAAAATTGTGGAATCTATAGAAGAATAAAGAACGGCGTGCATACCACACGTCCATAGTGCGTGAACTTTAAACTTTTAATTCCTCAAGATTGCAAACGGCTGGATAGACTAGAATACTCCCTTATCCCCAACAATTCACGAGTTTCAAACTTATACGTTTCATTTCTAATGACCTTCCGAAACATTTCGCTTAAAAACATAGCTATACAATTAGAATTACTGTTTTAAAAAGTCTAATTCGACTGGACTAAAATAGTACCGCACGGCTCGACCAGTCGAGCCAATGTGATTCGACACAGCGTTAACTTCAATTAATTTTCATATGGCCAATTTTCAAATGTCCATATTTAAAAAATTTGTTAATAAAAAGGACATACTTGTAGGACTATATCCTCATTCTTTTTCGAATTTTTCAACAGCACTACATTTATAAAATTGCATTTTTTTAAAAATAATTGCAAAATAAACGGTTAAGAAATATGTTTTCTTTAAACTGAAATAATTTTTATTAGGAACTCATCTATCCACTGTAAGCACCCACAGAACTTATTTTGATCAGTTTGTTACTTCTACAGTTACGATTTATTAAAGAAGGTTGACACTATATTTCAAACAGCTGTACAATTAATAATTTTCCAAATTTTCAAAGATCCTTCGAAATACGTTTATATATCACTGAAGACTACAACATATCCAAGTTTTAACGTAATCCAAAATTTTACTTCAAAAAGTGTCAGATTTCGCGTGGTATGGCCCTACAGTGAACTCTTGCTATATAGCCGCGGCCGGAGCGGTAGAAAAGTAAAATTCTCGGAAGTGGCAATATATGTAGAGCCTCCTTCATGTTAAGTTCAGCCGTTGTAGCCCCGAATGTGGTGGGAGAGCGAATTTGTGCGCGTGAAAGATGCTGTGAAGGGAAAATACCTCGCGCGATAATATATGTTTATTATCAAGATTCCACTTTTCTCTTGTATCAAGAGTCCACTGTATGACTCTTATGACTCGAACGAAATTTTTATAAACTTCCGAGTTAATACCGGAATTTAACGTATGCATATCTCGTTTTTTTTTTAAATATGAAACAGTATGTAACTAAAAATAAATGGAAAATTCTTATGAAGAGATATTTAAAAAAATTAAGTACCTTAGGAGTTGTACACTCTGGTTCAATTACTGGTGGAGACTGACGTTGGCGTTTAAGAATACTGCAGCTGGGAGATGCAGTTAATGAAGGTGGATTTGCACTTGACCACTCCAAAATTGGCAATTCATCCATTTCAATCGAAGTTTCTTCCATCACTTTTTCACTTTGAATGTCAGTTTGAATCGATACAGAATCCACTGATTTGTCTACTTTCGAAACAAATTTTTCACCGTCATTTTTCAAATTAGAAAATAATTTTATTGGGGGAGATGAGCAGTAATCAGATGATCTCATATTATTGAAGATTTTCTCTTGCCGACTACTACACGTTGCAGTTACTTTATCAGCTTCCTTAAATGTAGATCCTCTTTCCTTTTTTCCAAAAACTGTTTCACTCTCTACATCTTTAAGCTTTACTTTTTTAGTTGCAGCTTCATCATCTATATTTATAATGTTACCTTCAGTTTCCATTCTTGCTTGTTTTGTTACTAATCCTAACATGTGGGCTGCGCGACCTTGTGCCGAATAAGATTTAAATTTGAGACGTTTGGTATTACTTTTTGGTGACAAAAACCCGATAACAGATTTCATCAACGATCCCTCATTTATTTTTGGTACTTCGACATTATCACACGAATTGTTTTCGGCAGTTGGAGTTAATATCTTTGGCTTATTGGTGTCAACTTCACTGATTTTCTCAGATTCCTTAGCATCATCCTTAGAAACTTCATTATGGTCGTTATCACAGCTATTTGAAGCAGTATCTGCTATCTCTTCATCTTCGACCATAACGTCTTGAAATTTCATCGAATTACATAACTCACCAATTTTATTAATTTTAATGAAACACTGCTTTTCATTACACTTCTTTTGTAATTCAGACAATTCCTGAGAATTTTCTATTATATCTTGTGTGTCATCCCGAGTCTGCGTTAATTGTTCAACAGATTTAGCATCTTGAGTCGTTTCAATATTCCCATCAGAATCCAAATCCTTATTTCCTACTTCACTATTACATTCACCATTTTTATCGCATTCAATATCTGTTACTCCAGTCCTTGAAACATCTGTCCGTATATTATTTCCTGCTTGGTTCTCTTCCTCCAATTTCTGCTCTTCTTCTGCCTCATTCGTCTTAGTTTGCAAAGTTTTCTTCGTGTTTTCAGATTCTGTAACATCATGATGTCTGTCTACAGTTAACCCCAACTTCAGTGTACTCGAGTATACCTTTGGTCTGCCACGTCTGCTTACGTGTTGGGTCTTAATTAAATCTTTGTTAGTATTTCTTTGAGTTTTTCTCAAAGAATCACCAGTTTTTATGTCTATGAACTTCGGCTTAGTGCCTTTACTTTCAGGAGACTGCTTCTTAGCAACACCTTCTTTAATATGATCGTCATGACCCTTAGAACGACGACTATTTGGTAAAGGACTATCAAATATCATGTTTATACGTAAACGAGATATTTCATTCCTAGTTCGTTGACTCAGATTCCCATCGTCGATTAGTCCTTCCATATACATTGCTATATTATCACTTTCTGTAGATTTAGAGCTGTCACTATCAGTAGCAGTTTCCGATGGCATAGTTTTCCTTCGTCTACGTTGAGTGGTACTTTCACTTTCACTATCTGAAGTTGATTTTCGTTTGATGCCCCTTTTTTCCATGTCAAATGATTTAGTATGCACATTACTTGGAAGTCCTTGTTTATTAAGCATTTTAGACTTATGTTGAATTACTTTTGTTCTTAATTTCCTTTCCACAGCTCGTGTACTTGTAGATTGTTCTGGTTGATTATTAATTTCTTCCAAATTCGAAGAGTTACTGGATCGTATAATGGTACTACTGCGATTACGTCGTTTACCATTATCTAATATCGAGGGGGATAATCTTTGACCATTATCCTTATTTTCAATTTGCGAGGCAAGATTTGTATTATCTGCTATACAGTTTGATGAAGATTCTGCTTCCACAACTTTTACATCTTTCATGGTGAAATTTTCATGATTTTCTATATCACCTTTTATGTTTTGTACAAATTCTACTGTCACGTTCTGTCCAACATGATCTACTAACTTTGTATCACTCTGAATAGTTGCTTTATCTATAATTTCTGATTCTTTAATTTCAATTTTATTTTCCTTATTTGCATCGTGATTCAAAACGTTTTTCATTGAAATATTATCTTTCTTTGTATGTGTTTTTTCTGTTTCTTCTAGAGCTTTATTTTTTCTATCAAACCATTCCTGCAAATTTTGAGTATCTTGCGAACTAGACTGTGACAAGTCATTGTATAATGCTGGGATGTCGTCTCTTCTTCGTTTTAAAGATTCCTTTTGATGTTCAGTCAAACGACTAACGTCAAATTTTACATCAGTCTTGATGAAAACGTAATCCTAAAATTTATTAATGCTAAGGATTAAAAACTTTGATACAATTATGCATATTTCTTTTAATTTAAAAATAAAAAGGTCATTACTTTGAAAATTTCAAAATAAAACACGTAATCTACAGATGGATATTCATCATGTCTCAAATGTAACGATAATTAGTATAATATATAGTATAAAATAGGTAATTAATGTATTTACCTCAGAATCAGAATTGGATAATAAATTCTTGTTACTTTTATCAGTTTCTTTAACTACACGTTTTGGACTAACAGATCGTTTATTTAAAAAACTACCAACCCTTTTAACTTGGGCTTGTAATTTTCCAATATGATCATTTTCTTTTATAGCATCAGATCGATCTGATACTTTATCTTTATGCGCTTCCATTTCTATTTCTTGTAATACTGATTTAGCATTTCCACTTAACATGTTTGTAATATCAAACAGCGATATTGCTTGAGACTGTATGTCAAGATTTGTATGATTCAAAGCTAGAATAATAGCTTTCTTGTATGATAAAATGAGAACATAATCAACTAATTTATTAAGACCTTTTAGAATATTAACTACAGTCTCCCATGTACTTGCTACCTACAAGTTGAAAAATTACATATTATATGATAGTATTTCAAAGTCAGTATACATAATAAATTAAACACTCAAACCTAATAAGTAAACATTTACATACTTAAAAAAGTAGTACTAAATACATACTTCTTTATATATTGTATCCATACTAGATAAAAGAATGAGTTCAATTGCTGGTTTACACACTTGCAAATATGACACTACTTTTTGAGGATTATGTCCATAAATTGTGATAAGTACTGCGGAGAGAGCTTTGAGGGCAGATTCACAGTCTGTAGTATTTTTATTAGATAAAGAACAAGTTATAAGTTGTACAATAAGCTGTATAATAGATGGAACTTCTATATTTGCTGCAAAAATAAAACAAAATTAAATTGGATATTTTTTTATTATTATTAATCCTGTCCATTTTTAACAGGATTATCAACATACCCAGTAAAAATGTATAATTGATAGTACTCAATAAAGTATCTAAACTCTTTGTAATAAGACAACAAGATTTCTCATTTTTCACTATACAACATTGCATAGCATTTGCAACACTTAATAAAATTTGATTAGTCTTTACAGTTTTTATCAGATCTGCTCGCATTTCAAATTGTTTATATAAGAGTTTCCAAACTTTCATTAGTTCTTCTACCTACGATAAGTATCATAAATGCCAAGGTAAAATAGTATACTTGTCATACATATTTATTAAAATTAAAAATGTGATAAACTGACCTGTTCATGATCCTCTAAACTCATATACATAAATGGAAATATTACAATAGATTCAACAGTCTTTAAATTATGTTCTGTAGCATTTCCTTCATTAATATCCTGTAAATCTTTCATGTATTGTATTAATACTTCTGCTAAAATTAGCCACAATTCAAAAATTATAGACCTGAAAAGAAATCATATATAATGTTGTTCATTGTAAATTGAAGGAATTTTATTTTGATAACATATTATTTTAGCCTTTTAATAACTTACTCATTTTTCTGTTCAGCACTTAATAATGTTGACAATTTTTCATATATGTCTTTCAAATATTTAAATGCATCCGAATAATATGCATCTTTTATTTCAGATTTAATGCATTGGAAAAACAGAGACTTCAATATTTCATAATGTATCCTTAAAAGAATAATTTTATATATCTTTTTAATACATCTTTCCATGCTAATACTACATACATTACAAGTGCATTATTAATTATTTTATATATATTATGAATGCACATTAAAACTTTTGTTTAAGATCATACATTTGCCATAATTTCTGTCACCCTTGATATTTTAAATAAATGTGGTTTACCCTTTTCTAATGAAATTCACAGTATACATTACACTCTGTTTTACACGTTTACTAGATAATGTCATAAACTATAAGAAACAATATATTGTACATAAAAAATATTATTATGTACAAAATACAAAAGCGACATGGAAACATAATGTATCTCCAGTATGTGACTATTCATGAAAATATGTGTAATTAGAAATGTTTGCTTGAGATACACAAATATGCTATAGACGAAATGTTCTTTAATTAGTTTTGATTCGTAGTAACTTGAAAGTATAATTTGATAGTATAGATAAATTTGAAAGTATAAGAAAGAGTTTGTTGAGAATTGTATGCCATTATAAAAACAGCAAGCAACAGTTAGTCTGTTTTTATATATGTATATACTCCTAGGCAAGAGCACCATTTTTTTAATATAAATTTTACATTAAAAGTTGTACACTACACTAGTTCAATGAAATAGTTTATATAGGTTTCATTACAATTAGAAGATACATCAAACTCACACGTATTTCTTGGAAAAATTTTGTTCTGAGTAATAAATGCAATAAATAGATGAAAGTTGGAATGTATACATATGAATACAGTAAGAAGAATATAGTATAAAATGACGGCCAAAGAAAATTTGTATTTATTTCACAGAATGAAACATTTTTTAACTGTTTCACTTCATCAATCCTTCATTATTTTTAAGTATTTATGTTCTTTCTTCTTCTAAAAGTCAATATGTTTCTCTTCTGAAAATTGGGGCGTTTATAGAAAAATGTGTAAACATTACTAATTACATAAAATTAATTTTGAAAAAAGCCATTGAGAGTGAACTAAATTAAAAACTTTAGCTAAATTTAGATTTGTGCAGAATACACAAGTACGCAAACTTCACAGTGTTCTGAACGCTACTTTTCTAAGCATAGAAATCTCTAAAAATTCCTACAAAGTCATGAGACTTAAGAGTACAAATAAGATGTTAAATGAAATTTGATGATAAGATCAAACTGATATCAATTTAAAATATCGAAAAACTAAGTTACGTGAAAGTTACAAACAAGATAAAATTTTCAAAAAATAACAGAATATATTGCTCTTAAGAAAATTGTTCCCAAGTACTGCTGTATCGAATTGTTAATAAACTCAAATGATAAAATGTTATACTATATTTTCGCCTTATTTTTTCACATACAAAACATATTTCACGGTCATTGAAATCAGTGAGGAACTAGTTAATTGACAAGTTCACCTTTAAAAGTAGTACAAAATTATAAAAGAAATGATGCTATACTATCTTTAACACACATTATGTTTATAACTCAAATACTTACTTGTTAGCATCAGTTAGTAATGGAACTTGTAAGAACCTTAATACCAATCCTAATAATATATTATCCTCAAAATTGAAATGTTGATTAAGCTTAGTAATGTCGAATATTATTGTATCAAGAATTAAGTTTCTGATCATTGGCTTATCTGCAGCATAATTTGTCAATTCTGTGATAACTAATATTAAATCCTTATATACCAGTTCCTGTAAAATAATATTACTGAATAAGTGTTTTATAGAGTGTAAGCTTTTAATTAAATTTCTCCATTAAAAAAGATAAATACTATTAATTACCATTGTCAGTAGGTATCAACTAACCTTCGTTTCCGCTTTTGATTCTTGTACATAATTAACTAAACTTGACCACAATATTTTGCCAAGTTGGTATCTATTTTTCATCTCCGCATCCGTAAGTTGACTAAGAACAAGTAATGCTTCTCCTACACTATGAATAACACTGGTATAACATTCTTGGAAAACTGAATTAGACATAGAATGAGGAAGTCTTTCTTCCAAAATTGGAGAAAAAACTGCATTATTTTCTTGTTTGGTGACAAGAAGTTGGCATAGAGCGTCTACAGCAATAATTTTAGTCTTGTAAAATCTTTTTCCTGGTGAAGCTACTATCTCAAATTTTGAAGACAATAATGGTGTATCCCCAAGAGGGCCAAAACAAAAGTTTAAGAACTGTGTGATTACTGGATTGACAAATTTGCAAATGTCCTTATAAAGTTTGACAATTACATGCCACCAGACTTCTAATTTTGTTAGTGCTATTAATTCATTTTTACTATTTTTAGCATTTAGTGGAATACACAATAACTTTATCCGTCTAGCAGTCGCAAGTTCCTGCGGATCCAAAGCAAAGTTATCCACCAGTAATTTCCATGAAAGAAATGCTTGTCTAAAACAAAAAATATCACATCATATAATATATTGATTTCTATTAATTAACATTACATTTCTCATAGTTACTATATGTATATACTCAATGAATACCTGCGTATAACTGTATCTATAGACTTAAATGCCTTTTCTTCAACACTCAGTAAATTATTTATTAAACCAGCACCACGATGTAGATCCACACCAAGAAATTGAATACTAATATTCCATTGTGTAGTCCAATCTAATTCACACGCAGATACTAAAAGTAACATACGTTTGCAATACATAGACTGCAATGCTGCTTTATATTCAGCCCATGCGTCTGATAATTTAGTACGAATATGGGATGTTACATCTGTAGCTAGTGCTTGTTGCAAAAGTTTTAAAGCTGGACCTCGTTGTCGCTTATGACCCATATAAGCTAATAGCATTATTTTGTCTAATAATAATGCATTAAACTAAAAAAAAATTATAAAATTTTAAATATCTTTTGTTGTTAACTTAATAAAGCATACCGAATATTTTCAGTATTCCATATTTTTTAACTTGATAAATATTAATTGTATACCCTTTCAACTTTACTGTCTGATGTTATTCCAGCCACCTTGTACAGCCTTCGTAACAAAATCATGCAATAATTAATAGTTTCTTCTTCTAATCTTTGGTCATCCGATAATGGTTTATTTTCAGCTTTTATCAATGCTTGAATATTATCTATACATGCAGTTGGTGCTATCCATGGCATTGTATTTGTTTTTATTGTACACATACAATTATTAAAAAAGTTTACAGTATGCGTATCATAAGCAACTGTTGATATAGCATTGTCCTCAACTACTTCTAATAATTTAAGAATTTTTAATCTGAAATTATATCAATATCATAAGAATAAAATTACTTTTCAAGCTATTTATCTAAATCAGTCAAGGGTACTTGAATGTGTAACATTTGAACACATTTGGTGTATGCAAAAAGATTTTTAATATCAAAATTTTACAATTAACAGTATAATATAAAATTAAATGCAATTAAAAATACTATAAAATAAGCAATTCCAAATTAATTGTATATTATTAGGTTGCTGCAGAAGTTGAACCTTACTTTAAATATTACTTCTAACACTAAACCTACCAAATCTTTCCAAAAGGAAGGAATTAAAACAGCAAAACCTCTTATTTCACCGGTCGTGATAAGTTTAGTGTTAAAAATATTTTCTATGGACAATAAACACAAAATTTCTATAATAACTTAGTGTTAATATTATAATTAATGTAACAAACCTATTTTTGTGACTTATTTGCCACATAGTTTCAAACAAATTCAAAGAATGATCTCTAAAGTCTTGAATAATAACATTTAGTGTTTCGTATGCTTCATTCTGTATATCAATGTTTCCATTTGCAAAGGCGTCGATAACTAATTTACATAATTCTTTGTATTGTTCCTCTTTAATGGCTTTTGTTGTTTCCAGCTTCTTGCTGTTGCTAAAATGAAATATATTATTACAAGCTTGTAGGTTGCCTAGATACATTATCAAAGTATTTAAAAGAAATTATTAAATGCAATGTTTTGACAAAGGTTTACATATCATTTTAATTTAATAAGAAATTTTACATGAGAAAGTCAATAAAATCCTTAATTATAAATGATCTAAATATATGATATACTTTTATTACAGTGGAAATACAACTAATCACAGTAATACACCTAATATACCTAATATAATAAATCTGCACCACACTGTCTCATACATAACATTAATGATGAAGTCAATTTTATGTGTAACAAAATTAATTAACGACACGGTTACTCTGAATCTTCAATGAAATAATTGTTCTTTTTAAAAACTTTTCAAATCTTATATAATTTTTCAGTTTTTGAGACAAAAAATTTATTTTGAAAAACATTATTCGTGGATAGTAACCAAATGTAAACTGATGTCTCATGTGTAATCACATCTGTCATTTACTATAACTGACTCTATTCAGTTTTTCTTCTTAAATAGGTACGATTATAGAATATAAATATATATATGTATATTTAAAAGTAAAGTCATCAATATTACCTGCGGATATAGGTTAAAGCTTCATGTTTATCCTTAATATTACTGTTTTCCCGCAGCATTTTCAGCATACGCGGGAAAGACTGAATATTAGAAGCCATTCTATATGGAAAATGAATTAGAATAATAAAATTTCACTCATAGCTTCACGGATCTTCCTACAAGTTTTTGCAAAAATCAGGATATTATTACAATGTTCGCTGCTGTACTTTTACTAACAGTTCACGTACAAAGATGAAATCACTCACCGATTCCTTTAAAGATTTTTTCATAAACATTCGATGCTTTAAGAGACTTTTACAAACTACAAAGGAAAGTAAATCGTAACAATAACTTTAATGTCTTGTTAGAACGTATTACACCAGAACACATATCAGCGCGCACTATCTATTTAAATCCTTCTTTCATTTCTTGAACTTTTCCGTGTTTTCCTTTCTCCTCTTCCCGCCCTTTCTTTATTTCCCCGAAAGTACACAATGCAACGAACAAAACCCTGATTGTTTTTGAAAATTGATAGAAGCAGAAATACAACACACACAACGCACGCAACAGTTAAACGCTTCACACTCCCGGCGAGTTTGCAAAGTATACGTACACAACTTTAGATTGCGTTTTCAATAAATTTATACTACATTCATTATTACAGCAATGAAATTAACATGAAAAAATATAAATATTTGTCACCTATTTAGATAATACAATTACAGACCTGTTTAGTCTATAATATTACATTAATCGAAAAATACGTGTATGAGCAAAGCCAATATAATCGCTTGTGCGCCAAAATATGTTGATAGATACATACCCCTACCACGTGCTACATAGTTAAATGCTACTGTGAACAACTGTGAAACTGTGTGAAACAGTGACGTAACGACATATTATATGTAGGATGAAGTTTCAATCCTATCTAGAATAATTTAATTTTAAACACTGGACTAAACACGTCAGATTTGTTATTCATAATTTCTTTTTGTGAAACATCAACACGATTTCGATATAAGTGAATTTTTATTTGAAATATTTTGTTATCATTTAAATAGTAAAAATTTAGTAAAGTAATTCAATGCATGTATAACTATGAAAACTATTCTTCAATCACTTAGTTTAAAGGTAATTTTAACTGTAAAATATTCAAACTTTATTGTAAGATGTGTTTTAAAAATTGTAATATTTTGTATACTTTATAGCAATAATATTTAATGTAGGGTAGGTATACATACATGTATAATTTAACAAGCAGTTTAAAATATTTAATTGTAGAGTTTTTGAATAATATTTTAATATAATTTAAATATAAAATCCTCTACATAATAAGATTATATTGAAAGTATTTTTAGACATTAATTAGCTTACTATTTTGTAAATTTTATGTTCTTATATTTTACCTTACATTTCTTGTAATATTTTTTAAATGTTTTTTATATAAATTACCATAAATTATATCTAAATATAATATGAAATATCTGACAGTATACATGTGAACATAATGATGAATGAAAAATATATTATTCAAACTGTAAACCATGTAAGTCAGAATATGATGAAATTACTCAATGCAATTTTCAATTCTGAATTGTCTGCAGTACTAAATTGTTAGTTTAATTATTTTCAATACATTTTTTACATCATAAATTTTCTCTGTCTCTCTCTCTCTCTCTCTCTCTCTCTCTCTATATATATATAAAAAAAAAAATTATTCATGTTCTGCAGATACATTGATGCAGAACATGTGTCAGAATAATAATCATGTTAAATCTTAAACATTATCATAAAACAGAGGTTTAACTTAGTTATTCTACATCAAAGCACAACAGTATAAGTGTCCTTTTTTCGAAATTTGTATTATATATCAAATTGTTACAAAATATACATAATTCATTTTTAACATTTTGTAGTTCCACTGTTTTTCCAGATACATAAATCCACTATTATTGTTATATCTTAGATAGTAATAGATTACAGTTACAATGTAAAATAATAAAACTGATATTTACAATAATTTGATACTTAATTAAACTATTAAGTAACAGACCATAGTCTAACATTATTGTCTCTGTTTTGTATAGTATTGTCACACAATCTTTGGCCTGTACTAGTAGCAAGTATTGGTAGACTATTATGGAGACTTACTCCATTTATGCAATCACAAGATAATTTTATTTTATTTGACACATTAAGATGTGTGTAATCTATATTTTGTGGTAATTCCCAAACAGCAATATTTCCATCTGTACCACCTAAAAAGACAAAGTAAGCATTATTTTTTGCAATATTATTGACATATCTGAAAATGTGAAGTCTGTATAAAAGACAATTTTTCATACAGGTAACATACAGGACAATCTTTATCAAGGTGAAATATTTTGTTTTCAATTTAATAAACCCTGTAATCGATGAAATAAATTATTCCCTGATCTCAGTTTCTATGAAACGATATATGTATAAAAATGGGAGTATATGTAAATATCTACAGTCTATTTATGAACATACCTGAAACTATTTGTTTGCCATCACGCATTATACCAAACTGTATTCTCTGATTTGTATCTGACTGACGTCCCTGAAGAGAGTAAAGTACAGTACCTGGATTACGAAGATCCCAACATAAAAATTCACTACTACGTCTAACAGCTGAAAATAATTTTGTACCACAAGGACTAAACTCAAGTTGAGTTACACCACTTCCAGTTTTAAAAGAACATAGTGGCCCATTTCTATATAAACCTAAATATTTATAAACATAAATAAATAATATATTAAAGTGTAGTAAGTGCTTCATATTAGTATTACTTAATTTATATCTTATACTTACCAATACATTTAGAATATGTACCAAAGGCAATCAATCCAGGCATAATTGGATTTTCTCGAATACAGGCAACTAATCCACTAACATTTGGAAAGTCCTTCTTAAATTGTATAGTATTTATCTGACGACCTGGCCGTTCCACATCAAAAAGTCTTAGAACATTTTTAAATCCAGCCCATACTTCCCTTGCAGAATCAACAAACTGAACACTGATCGAAGCTTCTACTTCGTCCACTCTGGTATAATATAATATAATGCTATGAAATACTTTTTATATGCTCACAAAATTGTAATTTGAATATGTTTTTAAAATTCAATAGATTATTATTTACAATAATGGCTACACTAGTAGTTTTTTAAAAATTAATTAGTGAAAAATACTCACAAATCAATGGTATCATAAAATATCAAAACATGTGTTTAGATTTGACACTAATTAAAGTTTCATTATGAAAGTATAATTAAATGAACAGGGATCAAAATAATTTATAATACTAACTGGTTGTAAGCTCGATATGTTGCTCGTAATTCACCATTAAACGCATCCCATAAATGTATTGGACTTTCTCTACTGGTACTTAAAAAACAACAGGTTGCAGGTTCCCAAGAATTCATAAAAGGGTACCAACAGGTATCATATATAAGTCCTCCTTCTTTTATAGTTAATACTGCCGTAATGTTTAGGGGCGTTGAATGTAAAGGAAGTTTTTCAGAGTATAATTGTCTAGGGAGTTCATAAATTCTAATTCTAAAATCATCTGAGGGTACTAATAGACATGTTCCATCTGGGGACCATTGACAACCTTTTGTAAAATTTTCACATAACTCAGTTGGCTGATATTCTGTTGGTGCTTCACATAGTATTTCTGGTGGATTGCCCCAGTTATAACAAAGATGATTGATACTTTGTAATTCTATTTCTTTATTATCAACACTTTCCTCAACATTCACTACAATTTTATTTTCTTGTAATTCTTCTGTTTTAGGTTCTTCCAATGTTTCAGTTAAAGCATAGCTTTCGTGTGAATCTTTCGCCACTATAGTATTTATGTTTTCTTGCGATATTGATTTTTCAAATGTCTGTGATTCTAGCTGTAATATTAAAAAATAAATTATATATTTGAGTGCACAAAAATGGATTATAAAAAATTACTTTATTTAAGATGTTTTAGTTTATATTTTTTTAAACATACCATAGTTGAAGCAACAGTCTTATTTAGAGTTTGTATATACATTTAATGAAATTTCCATGAGTATTTAATGATAACGATGTCAGTCAATAACTATAGTATGTATACAGTTTTCATTAAAAATATATTACCATTTTATTTCGTTAGACATACTGATACATTTTTCATTATAGATTATGTATATACTAAGTTTGTAGTTGCTTATTTATATTTATACTATGCTGTTAGATTTGTTAGAACATAACAGGTTAGAATAATAAACATATCAAAGAATAATTTACGAAATTATTAAATTGTTTTTATTACTAGAAACTACGTTAACTGATATACACTTTAACGCGAAAAATAATATTTAAATAATAATTACTTATTTACTGCAACATATATATCTATATATATTGTATGTAGACATATACCACAGACGAGATATAAGAATAGACCTAACATGCAATGTAATTTTCTGTCCCATGCTTCGAGGGCGTCAGAAGCCCCCTTACCATTTTAATGTCAATACCCGACGTTACCGCTAAAGCATCCATTTTGAGTATTATTAGCACAAATGAAGTGTTATATATTCCATTCATATTACGTGTATCTATATGATTTCACGAGAATAAAAATATCCGATGCTTCAGTTGAAGGTTAAGGGATAAATATGACAGTCATGAAACATGAAACGGAAAAGTATATATTTTTTCACTTAACTACAAGACAATTTATTCTAAATGCATCGTTAATGGATTTCATTCGTTTTTATATCTTGCCTTACACTTGTATATTTGTAACAGATAAATTCAGAATAGATGTAGT